TTATTATAGTGGATGTAATAAGTTGTGCGTGCTTGGTTGTGTGGGTGGAACACATAACAATTTTTCCACTTTGAAAATGTGTCCATGGGACCCCAGAATTTGTGACTTCTGGGCTAGATGGTCCATATATGGTGAAGGGCTCTGTACAGCGGTACCTTGGGTTACATACGCTTCAAATTACAGACTCCGCTAACCCAGAAATAGTACCTCGGGTTAAGAACTTTGCTTCAGGATGAGAACAGAAATTGTGCAGTGGCGCAGCAGCAGCAGCAGGAAGCCCCATTAGCTAAAGTGGTGCTTCAGGTTAAGAACAGTTTCAGGTTAAGAACGGACCTCCAGAACGAATTAAGTACGTAACCAGAGGTACTACTGTATAAGACAGTTTAATCGTTTCTGTGTGGACAGCTACCAAAGAGGTTTGAGCTTCTTTCTAACCCCTCTCTGTGAAAGGGCTTCATAGACCAAGAGGCGGAGTGCCTCCTCATAGCTTTGAGGGAAAGGAAGTCTCTTAATTAGTCCATCTTCATTGAGATTCCCATATTCTTTCTCATGCGGAGAAATCAGCCTGCAAGGCAGCAGATAAAATGAGCTCCATACCTTTCTTGTTGTAGGAGGGTCACAGGTGTTAACTTTCCTTTCCAAAACGATCAGAGGTTCAAACGTCTACCCCAAAGGACAAAACACCCACCTCTAAAAGCTTGCCGTTGACTGACTGAAAATCCATATTTCTTTACATCTCTTTAATAGCCAAATAAATTTGCATGCTTGTTTGGTCAGCCTAGCATACAATTAGTACATGGCTTAATCAATTGCCTAATTACTGTTGTTGACGCCTAATGATAATCCATATTCAGTGCTGGTGCAAAGCTTAAACATTTCGCATTGTATGTAGTGTTTTCTAACCTTGTTCTCTAAACATAAGCCAGCTTGTTTCAATCATCCTTAAGAAAATTGGTCCTCATCTGACTAGCTGCCAGTTTATGATTGGAATTATTCCAGTTTTAGCTACATTCTGACAGGCAACTTCTCTGCCGCAGTAGTTAATGTTGAGTTTGCCAGGCCTAGTGGTGAACTTAGAGGCTTCTAAGCACAGCAACTCGATGCATGCAGCTAGGGAAAAGGAAGAGTTGATGCTTCTGGATGAAGTCTTTGCATCTATCATTTTCAAACTGTGTTCCAAGGAAGCCTGAGGTTCCTCGATGAGCAGATAACTGTGGAGATGGCAAACTTCATTTTAAACACAACTTCTCATCACCTGTGATCTTTTCATGCAATGTGTGTCCTAATAAATGTTTTCATGTTATGCAGGGTTATAGGAGAAGACCAGGAAGCAGCACATTTTGGCTGGTCCTAAAGGTAAAGGTAAAGGACCCCTGACAGTTAAGTCCAGTCGCGAATGACTCTGGGGTTCCGGTGCTCATCTCACTTTACTGGCTGAGGGAGCCGACGTTTGTCCGCAGACAGCTTTTCTGGGTCATGTGGCCAGCAGGACTAAGCTGCTTCTGGTGAATCCAGAGCAGTGCACGGAAACGGTGTTTATCTTCCTGCCAGAGCGGTACCTATTTATCTACTTGCACTTTTTGGTGTGCTTTTGAACTGCTAGGAGCTGGGACCGAGCAACGGGAGTTCATCCCACCGCGGGGATTCAAATTGCCAACCTTCCTAGACTCAGTGGTTTATACCACAGCGCTGGTCCTACTGGCCATCAAAAATGTGTTACTGACAGAGCCCCCCACCCTCATCACAAGAGGACAGGTCTTGTCCCTGACCTCATGCTATGTCTTTGAAAGGCAGCACAAAGTCAGGGGGAATTTCCTACTCTCTCTGTCTCTAAGCTTGGAACGGAAATAGAGGTCAGGAAACCAGCCTTCTTCCAACTATTCAGAAGAGCAGGCAGGGGAGAGAGGTTTTCTCTCTTTGTTTTTGTTTTTAAATTATTTTTATTGGTTTTACATATAATCACATTACATAACATCATATCCTCTTATTTTATCTCTTTGGCTCAACTGAGCCTAACAACTTCCCTCCCTCCCGTTTACAAAATTAAACTTTACATCTTTACATTTCACTTCGTTTCCTATCCTTGTTATATCATTCCCTAAAATATTAAATTACTCCTCCTGAATAGGTAGCAATTTCATCTTACAAATCTTCAGATAACCCTGCTAACGATGTTAATTGCTTACAGTTGTCTTTCAAATAGAATATAAATTTTTTCCAGTCCTTTTGGAATGATTGGTCTTGCTGGTTCTGGATTCTTCCCGTCAGTTTTGCCATTTCTTCCAAGTCTCTCTTTTTGTGTCCATCTGATCAGTGTCCCAAGCTTGCAGAACCCCAGCCAAAGGGGCACAGGAAGTTGACTTGCCTCTGCCTTTCCCTACAAGCACTGCAAGCTCAGAATGGGAAGGGCTTTCTCTATCTCTGCCTGGTGGATAGGTGCCTCTGTGTCTCTTCCAGCTATGAGATGGAGACGGAGGATGGCTATAGCTTTGTGACTGTGCCCAGCAAGAGCCATAACAAGCCACAGGGCTCAGTGAACTTTCGAGCTGGTGAGGGGGTGAGGTTAATCCTCCTCTCCACATTACCTTGGAGGAGACCTCTGGCTTATCTTGCTCACTACAGCCTGCCTGCCTTCTTGCCATCTTGAGTGGATTGAGTAACATTATGCAATTTCTGGTGAGGCTCGGTAGGTCCCAGAATCCTCTTCTGGGAAGAAAGGTTCTGGGGCAAATTCACAGGGATTCCTCAGCAGACGAATCAGTGTGGAAGGGGTTAGTTGGAAGCAGGAAGTTTGCAAACCACTTCCTTTGATAAAGGAGTGTCATGCATAGTTGTTCTCTTGTCTGGGGAGATACTTGGTATGACTTGAAAACTCTGGTGCGACTTGGTCTCTTCAATAGGGTCAAGAAGCTAATGACTTCGGAAATGATGCAGTGTGCTAACTGAAAGAACACAGTTTGACCTGACTGTATGGGAAAACCCTAAGCAGGAGGGGGGAAAGTTGTTTTCAAAAAAAGGGGACGCATGTGTAAAGGATATCTAGGACTAGCTGCTTGGAACAAACACTGTACAAGTGAGCACAGAGACGTTTTAGAGCAGGCACCCCCAGACTCGGCCCTCCAGATGTTTTGGGACTACAACTCCCATCATCCCTAGCTAACAGGATCAGTGGTCAGAGATGATGGGAATTGTAGTCCCAAAACATCTGGAGGGCCGATTTTGGGGATGCCTCTTTTAGAGGAACTAAAGTGTTGGAAGTGCAACTCCTCTCCCCAACTGAAACCCACAGTCTCTCTGGAATTGTCTCAGATAAAACATGCATTGAACATAGAACACAGGTTGCCTTATTCCAAGTCACCCCATTGGTCCATCAAGTTCATTGTTGTCTACACTGATTGGGAGTGGCTCCCCAGTGATTCAAATTGGGAGAGTTGTACTGGGGATTGAACCTGGAAAGCTATGGCCCTTCCCAAAATCATTCTCTCTCAGCCTCAAGCACCTCACAAGACTGTAGTGAGCTACCTAGAAGAATGAATATATACAAATGTTGTGAATAACGGTTTGACATTTGAGGAGCTAGACTCTCTAACATTCCAATATGAAGCGCATCCGAGTAGAAACTTTTGCACTTGGTAATGGATCGCGAACTTCCAAGTGTGACCCTAAGAACAATGAGCATAAAGAACAAGGTGCTTTTTGATTCGTAACGCAGTGCTTCATTGTAGTATAATTGCATTTTTTCAATTAAAAGCTTATTACTCTGCCATCATGGTAAAATAGGATATTAACACTGAAAGTGAATGTCACAGGTGCCATTGGAAGTTCTTTCAATCCCTCTTAATAGCTTTTCAAAACTCTGGCTTAATGTTTCGCAGTGGGTAAGTGTGTAGTTTCAGAAATTATATCTTATATGAGTTTTGCTGAAACTGCCTTAGAAACCCTTTTATGATTTTCTAAAGTTATTTTGAGGCCCGACTGCTTAACTCCTCTACATGCAAAACTTTTCACACATCAGCATTCCTCTGTATATAGCCTTCCTTGTCTTATTCTCTGGCAAAGTATCATTTCCCACGTGCTGGCCATTTTAAAATGGCGGCTGGCTTCAACTACAACTGGGTGGTAGCGAAATGTCAAGTTTTCCAGTCATGAGGGAAGCATTAGAACCTGGGAAGCTGCCTTACACTGCCTAGCAGTGGCTCTGTGGGGTTTCAGGCAGAAATCCCTCTTGGCACTACGTGCAGGATGTGGGGACTAAATCTGTGACCTTCTGCATACAGAAGGACACATGGGCACCCTATTAACGCCCATACCCTGTTTGCCTTATTGACTCAGCTGTAACACGGACATATTTTTATTGCTCCCCTCAACCCACCCCTGGATTTCTTTTCGATTTTGCAGACTACTTGCAATACTATCTGGTGTTTCAACGCTTCAGTTTAGAACGCTGGACAGCAGCTTCCTGCAGTGCCTGGAGTTCTTTTCAGTCCAGTCTCTGTCCATTTGCCAGTGGTGAACACCTTTCTCCGGAGCTGTTCATGAACTGATGCGTAGAATCAGTGCACAGAATCAGAATTGTGGAGTTGGAAGGGACCACGAGGAGCAGTAGACCTGAAGGAGCGTCTCCACCCCCATCATTCTGCCCAAACGCTGAGGTCCAGCGCCGAGGGCCTTCTGGTGGTTCCCTCGCTGCGAGAAGCAAAGCTACAGGGAACCAGGCAGAGGGCCTTCTCGGTAGTGGTGCCCGCCCTGTGGAATGCCCTCCCATCAGATGTCAAAGAGATAAACAACTACCTGACATTTAGAAAACATCGAAGGCAGCCCTGTTCAGGGAAGTTTTTAATGTGTGACATTTTAATGTATTTTTAATCTTTGTTGCAAGCCGCCCAAAGTGGCTGGGGAGACCCAGCCAGATGGGTGGGATACAAATAACTTCTTCTTCTTCTTCTTCTTCTTCTCATCATCATCATCATCATCTGGTCCAACCCCTTGCAATGCAGGAATCTTTCACTCAAAGTGGGGTTCGAACCCACAACCCTAAGATTATAAGTCTAACGCTCTGCTGACTGAGCTGTAGGGGGCTTGGCAAATTAACAGGGTCTTCCTTCACTTTCCAAGGTGCTGTGCTGAACTTAAAAAGCTGCTCCAGTCATAGTTCCCTATAAAGACCGAGGAAAGAGGAAGTGGCAAAAGAGAGGTGCTCCTCATCTCTCCAAAATTGTGCTCAAAATGAAGCAAGACTCATTCCTCTCCCAATCATCTGGCATATGGAGATGATGCAGGCGGGTGGGGTGGGGGTTCATGCAACCAGATAATGGTTATCTAATAATGCACCAGACCAACATGTGTGCACCCCTTCCCAGTGCCACAGAGGCCAAGCCCCATTTAGCTCGTAAGATATGATAGTGTCAACATCAAGTTGCTCTAGTTGTTGTCCAAAAGCCACTGACTTTTGTCTCTTTGAGGTTCTTCAGTGTTTTTACTCTCAGCTCTTGATATGAAAGGAAGCTGTTTCAGTCACCTTGAGGCATTGCTATGCATGCAAGAAGATATCTGTTTTCATTTCAAGCAACTGAACATCTCTATCTCTCCCACACCTCTCTCTCTCTCTCTCTCTCTTGCTCTCTCTCACACACATAAATTCTTGTTCTTTGAAGATCAAATAATCAGTTTAAAGGCTAAATGGGTGGACCTGAAGCAGCAGCAGCAGCCCTACCTACACCCACTGATAGGACTAAAAACTAAAAAAGTAATCTAACAATAGCTATATTAACCAGATGTAACTGCATAAAATCTATGTGTGCACATGCCCTACCATTATATTGGGGAAGAAGATGAACATTCTTGCTTGCCTGTTGAAGCAGTTTAGGAGCCAGGTCTTTCCATATGTACACGTAGAAACATGTACAATCTACAGCCCTGAATATGCAAGGTTTAAAATCATGTGGGGAACATCCTCCATCTGCTTGTGGAGGATTTGTAAAGAATCAGAGAATTCTAGTGTTGGAAGGGACCGCGAGGATCATCTAGTCTAACCCCCTGCGATGCAAGAAACTTTCGCCCAATATGGGGCTCGAACCCACATTCCTGAGATTAAGAGTTTCATGCTATACCGACAGAGCTATGTTAGATGTCAGGGAAGGCATACTGCCAGCATGCCCTTGGTCTCTCTCACTTGATTCTCATTGCACGAGTGAACTCCTGAACAGGGCTTTCCCCACAAAATTATCTAGCTAAAGATGTAAATAGCACCCTCCCTTCCTTACAACTGCCTGCTGTGGTTCGCTGGCTCCCAAATGCCAGACTGGTAAGTCAAATTGAAGGAAGGATGGCAGGTATTTGGCAGGTCAGGGTGGGGGAGAGGTTTAGGAGCTCACAGGAATAGGGTAGGTTTAAGAACAGTCCTGTTCTTAAATGATTCGGTTTATGAACTCCACAAAACCGGAAGTAGTGTCCCGGTTTGCGAACTTTACCTCGGTCTAAGAACGGAATCCGAACAGTGGAAGGGCACTGGCAGCAGGAGGCCTCATTAGGATGAAGTGCGCCTCGGTTTAAGAACAGTTTCTGTTTAAGAACGGACTTCCGGAACGGATTAAGTTTGTAGACTGAGGTACCACTGTACTATGTTCTAGTTGGGAGGAAATGGCTCAGCTTGCTTCTGAGTTTGAGCTGGGAGCTTGCCCATGACTGGCCTGAATAATCTCCTGGTCTGATCCTGCAAGGCGGTCCTTACGCCCAAGTGCCCATGACTGGGCTAAATAATCTCCTTGTCTGATCCTGCAAGGCAGTCCTTACGCCCAAGTTGTGTAAGCTCAAGGTAGAGCACATGGCTGACTTGGGCAAAAGATATAATGTCTGAACTGGCGTTTAGTTACTGCAGTTCTAGAATGTAACTAATGTAACACAAAGCAAATGGGGGGAGTCATACTCTATGGTGACTTTGTGTGACAGCGTCAGACATTTAATTGCATTTTCTCTCATTTATCTGGCTGTCTTTCATCTGGAGAACAATTTCTGATCCAAGGTGAAAGAGAACATGATGGTTTGAGCACACCTCTAGGGCTAACTCGAATGAGAACTGGCTCGGTCTCCAGGGACGCAAGCCACAAATTTCATTTTGCTCCCTTGTGTAACCTTCACCTCAACTGTTTCCTAAATGAACATGAAAATAGATGAGGCTGGATCAGGAATGCTTGAGACACAAAGGAATGATAGAGCAGTCCACCAGCTAAATATACTATAGACAGCCTAAGGGTATCTTCAAACATGAAACTTAAATAAGTTTGTGTTTTAATCAGTCTGTAATGTAAAGGTGAAACCTACATTGGTTAAAAGCTACATTTCATTTTTTTCCCCAATTCCAAATTTTCTCTGCTGTTTACAATATTCATTTTGTGGCATTAACACACACAAAAGAGACTCAGATGCATTTCTTGGTGTTACATGTGAAAATGGTATGAGAACTGTACGGATGCCCTGTTTGTCCTACTTGACCGCTGCTGATATTCTTACCTTCTCCTGCTTTGACTAATCCTTTTCATAACTCTTTCCTACTATCAGTTATTTCAGGAAATTGTTTTATCAATTATTTGCCCCATCTAGCTTGAGGTGGGGAACCTGTGGCCTTGAAGATGTTGTTGGGCTAAAACTCCTGCCCCTGATCATTGGCTATGCTGTCCGGGGGTGATGGAAGTTGGAGCCCAACACCATCTGAAGGACCACAGGCTTCCCACTCAAGGCTTCTAGCTCAGTGTTTCCCAAACTTGGGTCTCCAGCTGTTTCTGGACTACAACACCCATCGTCCCTAGCTAGCAAGACCAGTGGCCAGGGATGATGGGAGTTGTAGTCCAAAAACAGCTGGAGGCCCAAGTTTGGAAAACACTGGTCTTGCTAGAACTATCTACTCACTGGCAACATCTCTCCAGGGTCTGAGGCAGTGTGGTCTGCCCTAGTCCTGTTTTGAGATGCTGGGGACTCAACCTTTGTGTTCAAAGCTTGTGCTTCCCCAGTGAGCTGCAGCCCATCCCTCGATGATCCCCAGGTCAAGTTATTTCCTGCTGATCACCAAAGAATGGATGCTTTTGAATTATGACGCTGGAGGAGACTCTTGAGAGTCCCATGGACTGCAAGAAGGTCAAACCTATCCATTCTTAAGGAAATCAGCCCTGAGTGCTCACTGGAAGGACAGCTCCTGAAGCTGAGGCTCCAATACTTTGGCCACCTCATGAGAAGAGAAGACTCCCTGGAAAAGACCCTGATGTTGGGAAAGAGAGAGGGCACAAGGAGAGGGGGAAGACAGAGGACGAGATGGTTGGATAGTGTTCTCAAAGCTACGAACATGAGTTTGACCAAACTGCGGGAGGCAGTGGAAGACAAGAGTGCCTGGCGTGCTCTGGTCCATGGGGTCATGAAGAGTCAGACACGACTAAACAGCAGCAGCAACAACAATAATATTTGGAAGAACTATGTGTCATGGCATCATCCTGTTCTGTTCTCCTGTGCCTTTTCAATGCCTTTGGCTGGCAGGATTTTCCCCAAGCTACCGTATTTTTCGCCCTATAAGACGCACTTTTTCCCCTCCAAAAATGAAGGGGAAATGTGTGTGCGTCTTATGGGGCGAATGCAGGCTCCTTGGCTTCAGCGATAGCAACGCGAAGCCTCCGAAGCCTGCGCTCCGGAGGCTTCGCGTTGCTTCTGCTGAAGCCAGGAGAGTCTGCTCTTTGAGACTGGCGGTGGGGGAAAGCAGCGCTTCCCCCATCGCCAGCCCCAGAGGATGGGGGGCAGCGGGAAGGCGCGCGATGCCTTCCGGCTACTCTCCAACCCGGCTTGGAGGCTGGCGGTGGGGGAAAGCAGGCATTTCCTCAAGGAGGGAGAAGGGACTGACTGGCGGAGTCCGTCCCTTCTTGCTCCTGTGGGCTTTTGCAGGAGATGGGGGAATTCCCCCACCTCCCGCAAAAGCAGGCAAAAGCCATGTACTCTTTAAAGTGGCTGAGCGAGAAGATGGGGGAATTCCCCCACCTCCTAGAAAAGCCCATAGGAGCCGCGCAGCCTTTAAAGAGCGCACCGCTCTTGGGGGCTTTTCCCCAAGGAGGGAGAAGGGACTGACTGGCCGTTTCATTCCCTTCTCCCTCCTGGTCGAAAAGCCCGCAGGAGTCGCACGCGGCTCCTGTGGGATTTTGCGGGAGGTGGGGGAATTCTGCCACCTCCCGCAAAAGCAGGAAGAAGGTCTTGGAGTAGCGCACAGGCTGCGTGCAGCCTGTCCGCTGCTCCCAGAGCTGCGGGGGGGAAATCATATTTTTTTCCTTGATTCCCCCCCCTGAAAACTAGGTGCGTCCTATGGGCCGGTGCATCCTATAGGGCGAAAAATACGGTGTTTTTTTGCTGCATTGTCATAAAAGCACATTTATGTAACACTCCTAGCCCCCATAATACATCCCCCCAAATGATTTGGATTGCTATGCACAAACAATGCAGTATCCCTTCATGGTTAATCTGGTACCATCAATGACTTGAGGTTTATGAAAAGAAAGGTGCTTGGTTGGTTGATCAGTTCAAAGTTCTACATAGTTTTAGTAACAGACTAATACCAATGAAAGGTATTTTGCTTTTTAGGGCATAAAACTATGTTAAGTAAGTCTAGGTTGTTATTCAGGTAGTGAATACTGCCTGATGAACTGTGTTGAAAGGTCAAAAGTAAAGACATGTCAGGGAAGAAGGGAAGAATGATAAATTGTTGGCAGCACTCTGATCTGCATTTGGAACATGGCCAGTAGGCTAAATAAATATTTTAAGAGGTCAACTTTTATTCTTATGTCTTCTGATGAATGCCTTTGAATTTTCAGTACAAGATTATTATTTGTCAGAATACGTTGATTCTACCTGTATTTGCTACCTGGTTTCTTCTTAACAGCTGGTGTCATTCTGCAGTCACAGAAAAGGTTGAAACAATGGGCCCATTCCAACACTCAGGCTGATGTGATGGTCATGTGCAGGGTAGAGTGAGTCCAGGCATTGGGGGAGGTGAATCATGGTCACTGAAACGCGATATCACACAGGCACAAAATTGATCTGACTAATATCTGTGATCTTAACATCACTGTTTGTAGGTACACATGGGTTTTCAAATGCCTGGGTCCACATGAGCTCATTTGCGTGGTGGCAGCCAAGTACATCCATGAGCTGAGGTTATTAAATGTCAACTGTTTTCTAATGATAAATATATTTGCTTATTTTGAGGCCTACCTTGATGACTCAAGCTTGACGCTCGTAACTATTCTTTGGGTGGTCACCGAGCACCAGATAAATTTGGCTGCTGTGTTTGGAGTAATCAACCTTGTAGTTCTTTAAGCAGATGCTGTTCAGCAAATGGAGAACTATCATATTTTAGCTCTACCCCCTACTGGACCAGACGTGCCCATCCAAATAAAAAGGAAGGATTTACTGCTATTGGTCAGTCACAGGTGCTTTTACAGGCTGTTACAAGTCTTTTTGTGATTCATAATGAACACTCTTCTTCTGTCTTCCCTCTAACTGAGTCTAGCTAAGGCCTTGGAATATTTGACTAATTTACTTTTAGCAAGCTTCATTAAGCATATCAGCGCCTCTTGCCACACGCTATAAGGTTGCATGTAGAAACCAGCTACCTCCAGCAGTCAGAGTCCTTTTGCAGACTAGACAACCTGCAAGGCAAGCATCAGCTGTGCCCATCACCAAGCTGACTGCTGCTAGTCTAATTGTACTACAGGGATCAATGAGTGAGACAGATTGGGAATCACACAAAACCAACAATGGCTGGGAAGATGCTTATCTGAAACCTTGGAGAGCTGCTGCCAATCACTGTAGACCAGAGTAGGCAACTTGGCTCCCTCTTGGTGATCTGGACTGTCGTTCTCATCATTCCTGGCCATTGGCCATGCTGACAGGTGCCAATGAGAGTTGTAGTCTGGAGCATGGGGGAGGGGGCAACCAGAATGCTTTCCTCTGGTATTCATCCTGATGGATTTCCTATAGTCTTTTACAAAGCCTAGTAGTAGTGAAGACCAGTTGTATACAGGGAAATATGGAAGACAGTGTGCGGTTATGATTGCCACCCCATTTCTGAAATGCATGGATTAAATTCTTCATTATACTCT